AGCCACATTCACAGAGAGAGGAGATAGTCTGGGGGGCCCAAGATAACTTATTGTTGTCTCATGGGATGGTCAGAAGGCCTGTTTCAGCCAGGGACTGCCAACAGTAGCGTCCCTACATCACCTGTCCTGGTTCCAAGAGATAAGAAGCAGAAGCTACACGGGTTGCTCTTTGTAGTTCTAGAACAATGGTTTTTGCTCCACTCTGTGAGTCAAGAGTGGTCCTAAGCCCATCCCAAATCCAAAGGCATGAGCTATTCTAACTTGGTGACAAGAGCAAGCACTCTGGAGCACATGTCCAGGAAACCTGGTTGATGTTGCCCACTGTTCGTGAACCGCCAGACACTCCCACTGCACATTGTGCATGCATGGCATCACACTGGTCTAGCTCATGCTACATGTGGGGCATGCACTAGCTTTCAACTTTGGGTCTGTAGTATCCTTGCATAATCTCTGCATATGAAAACCCATCTGTGCCCTGAGTAAATGGACCAACTGATAAGAGAAAAAGGACCAATCTACCTCCTGTGCTGAACAAACATGCTACCCAAATGGAAGTCATGGCAATTGTCCTTCTTCCAAACACCCAATACACCTGTGTGGTTGGGGATGAAGGGCAGAATTAGAACCTGTTATGGGGGCTCAACCTATTTAGTCAATGACATTTGGAGTGACTAGCCCTATGGACGCTGTTTCCTCTGGATACGTGACCTGATAAAACAAAAAAGAAGAGTTGCTCTCTCTCTCTCTCTCTCTCTCTCTCTCTCTCTCTCTCTCTTTCTCTCTCATGGGCAGAGCAGGAGCATGCCTTGAGGTTGGTCCTCATCACCCTTGGGCAAAAGGGCAGGACAGAAGCAGAAGAGTTGCTCGCTCTCTCTCTCTCTCTCTCATGGTTGGAGCAGGAGCACGCCTTGTGGTTGGTCCTCATTGCCCTTGGGCAAATGGCAGGACAGCAGCAGGTGAGTCAGCAGCGGTGTCGACCTTGTTCTGTGTTCGTGCATCTTTTTCCACTGCACCCTTAATAAATTATTGGCTAAACTTTGTGAGTTCTCACTTCAGCTACCGCTGGGGACACAGAGAGAAAGGGAGAAATGAAAACCAGCCTGAGCAACGGTGGCAAAGAGGGACAAGAAGATCAGTGCTGGGCCAGGCATGGTGGCACACACCTATAGTCCAGCTCTCGGGAGGCAGAGGCAGGCAGATCTCTCTGAGTTCAAGGCCAGTCTACACAGTGAGTTCCAGGACAGCCAGGGCAATTACAGAGAGAAGCCCTGCCTTAAACAAAACAAAACAAAAGGTTAAGTGCTGTGGCCTTTCAGAGGATGCCACTCTCGCGGACACCTGTGAGGCGGGGACAGGGCATTTCACTGCTGCTGTCCGTCATCAAAGAGCAACCACAACGAGAAAGCAGAGATCCAGGGGCTGCGTGACTATTTTGAGTCTAATTCAATTCCATGCTTGGATTCAGTGTGTGATGTCTAAAAGGAGTGATACCAGCTGGGGTCTGGGTGTTCAGGATGATGCTACAAGGTCCCTGGCAGGTTCTACAGGCAGGGGGCAGGGGGCGGGGTGCAGGATGCAGGGGGCAGGGGGCAAGGGGCAGGATGCATGGGGCAGGGGACAAGGGGCAGGAGGCAGGGGGCGGGGGGCAGGGAGAAGGGGGAAGGGGGCGGGGTGCAGGATGCAGGGGGCAGGGGGTGGGGTGCAGGATGCAGGGGGCAGGGGGTGGGTGTAGTGACGAGCTGCGGGCAGGCCTGCTTATCATCCTGCCCAGCTCCCGCACGACTAGCTTAGCCCCAGAAATAATAACACATAAGTTGTATTCATTTAAATACTGCCTGGCCCATTATCTCTAGAGAGTTAGTTACTGGCTAACTCTCACATCTTGATTAACCCATTTCTAATAATCTCGTGGTAGCACCATGAGGTAGTGGCTTACCGGAAAAGATTCAGCATGTCTGACCTGGTGGCTGGCTCCATGGCTTCTGGCTCATAGCCCTCTTCCCAGCATTTTGTTCTGTTTACTCCGCCTACCTAATTTTCTGTCCTATCAAGGGGCCAAGGCAGTCTCTTTATTGACCAATGAAAATAGCACAATAGACAGATAACCCTCCTCCATCATTTCCCCTTTTTCTGTTTAAACAAAAAAGAAAGGCTTTCATTTTAACATAGTAAAATTACACATAACAAAACAGTTATCAAACAAGAATTACAGTCACAATATTTATAACTATATCTTTATCATAATAATGGAAAACTATAACTACGACTATCCATTCTTTAACTCCATCAAAGACTCCAGAAGGATATATTACCTAAGTAAGCATGAAGTAAGCAACTTCCAAAACTCTAGAAATGACAGAGACATCTCGCTGCCTGGACAGTCACCCAAATTTCCTCTGTATCGTTGGGGCACCCATCTTCGGCCTTCAGGCCCATAGTATCCAGAGGCATTTCCATGAAGCAGGAAATTTCAAAGGCAATTCAGTCACTATCTGCTGTGTCCTGCAGAATGTCTCGCAGACTCTTTTATGAATCAAGAACCTTGAAAGATCATCTCACTTTTAGGCAAGTTCAGCAGTCCTCTCTCTGTGGGTTCTCTGTGTCCAGTTTATACAACAGTCCAGGCAAGAGCAGTTTCTTGCCCAAATGGCTAACCAACTCCATAAGGAGCCTCTTCGATGCCCATCTTCCTCTTGAAGTAGATTGGTGCTGCCAGGAGCAGACATGTCTCATTGTCCTAAGTTATTAAAACATTAAATGCTATGTTCTGTAGTCTTTGAAAGATATGAAGAATGTCTCTCTGAAATATATCTATGCACATCTACAAAATCAAACTAACATTACTACAAGCTTGACTATTATCGATGATTATCCATTAACAACCTATATTTTTAATTATACACTGCATTTTTAAATTAACTATACAATCACAATACATCAATCAAGATCAGAAATATATATATACATATAACAAAATTGACCTTAAAATCCATACCAATGAAATTATTCATATCTATATCATATCCCCCTTTAAATGTAAAAGAACATTTATAAACAATATTTGGGAATATGGACGTAGTTATTTCTCTCCAAACTTCTTTCTGCTGTATAGGGGCGCAGTTAATCAGGTCTTTCATGGTATAACCTGTCTGCCAGGTTCATCTCAGTCGGCAGTTGAGTGAAGAAATTTTTTGAGGGTGTTCACAGAAATCTTTCAGGAGGGCGTGGTCTATCATACCATATTGGGATAGAAGCAATCCACAGGGTCTCATCCTCTGTGAAAACAAAAGAAGAACCTCCTTTCCAAAGTATCATATCCTTAGATCCAAATTCAGAAGTCAAGGTATTTTCAACATATCTATCTTGGATTAGTTCAGCAGCATTTATAAACAAATATCTTTTAGCAGCTGTTGCTCCTTCCTCAGCATTCAAACAATTCAAAGAGAGCATAATAGCATACAGTATCAAGATTCTCTGTGTATTTTCCATCTTTATGCAGCTTTATTTTTAACCTCTATTTCTTTTATTTTTACTTTTACTTTTTGACACAGGTTCTCTGTATATCTTTGTCCTGGAATAACTCTGTAGACCAGGCTGTCCTTGAACTCACAGAGATCTGTCTGTCTCTGTTCCCCAGTGCTGGGATTAAAGGCGTGTGCTACCACACCTTGAACTCAGAGATCCTTCTGTCTCTGCCTCCCAGGCATTGGGATTAAAGGTGTGTGCTACCACACCTTGAAGTCACAGAGGTCAACTACCTCTGTCCCTTAAAGTCTCAGAGGTCAAAGTACCTCTGCCTACCAGGCATTGGGATTAAAGGTGTGTTCTACCACACCCAACTACTCTCTTTCTTCCCTTTTTACCCTAAGAACTTTAACCTTTAACCTGCATGTATTTTTAACACATAGTAAACCATTTAGAGGTTTTTTTCATCTTTGAATCTCTCTTTACTGTATATCTCTCTTTTTCTGACTTCATAAGCCTTTAATTTACTAAGCAATATGGAGAGCCGTGGCTTTGACGGCTAGATCCAGCTCATTTTTTAGCTTTCCAGCCTCACGGCTGAGATACCAGCCAGAGCTGTGTTCATTGCCACAACTCTATGGCGTTTCAAGGTCCTTGCCAGCAAGCAAGCTGCAGCATTCTGCTCACAGACCACACTCAGTCGGACTGCCTGCCTGAAAGAGTCAGAGTTTGCCCTGGCAGGACGGCCCAGAAAACCGGCATTTTAAAACAGTGCAGCGTTTTTCCTGCTACGACTGAAAACCAAAAAGCATGCGTTCAGCTTTTCATCAATACCATTTAAGTGTTTCGCAGCAGGACCTCTTAATGAGCTACAAAGTTTTGCAGCTAAAGCTGAGTCAGGAAGCCTCTCTTAAATGAGAGCATTGCTTGCCTCTAGCAAGCAGAGCAGACCCGAGAAATTACTACCACCAAGAAAACATGCTTTACTCTATTCTTTCCCAAACTTTCTCAAGCTTTCTGTGGATTCAGTTATCCACGTCGGGCGCCAACTGTAGTGAGGGGCTGTGGGCAGGTCTGCTTTTCGTCCCACCCGGCTCCTGCATGGCTAGCTTAGCCCCAGAAATAACAACACACAAATTGTATTCATTTAAGCACTGCCTGGCCCCTTATCTCTAGAGAGTTAGTTACTGACTAACTCTCATATCTTGATATTAACCCATTTCTAATAATCTGTGTAATCGTGGTGGCTTACCGGGAAAGATTCAGCATATCTGACCTGGTGGCTGGCTCCATGGCTTCTGCCTCATTGCCCTCTTCCCAGCATTCTATTCTGTTTACTCCGCCTACCTAATTTTCTGTCCTATCAAAGGGCCAAGGCAGTCTCTTTATTGACCAATGAAAATAACACAACAGACAGATAACCCTCCTCCATCAGGTGGGGTGCAGGATGCAGGGGGCAGGGAGTGGGGTGCAGGGGGCTGGGGGTGGGATGCAGGGGGCAGGGGGCAGGATGCAGGGGGCAGGGGGCAGGGGTCAAGGTGAGGAGGCAGGGGGCAGGATGCAGGGGGCAGGAGGCAGGGGGCAAGGGGCAGAAGTCAGGGGCAGGGGGGCAGTCCTAGCCTCTCACGGTCTGCAGTGTGCTCACTGCAACCCCAATGGAGCTCATTAAATCAAGGTGCAGTGTCCTTCTTTTGCTGCAGAGATAAAATGTTTGGAAAGTCCAGGGCGTGAAACTTGCTAGAGACTCAGAGCTTTGTCCTCCCTAGCTTCATGCTTCAGAAAAGAAGGGGTGAGATGGTTGGTCTCAACGGGGTGACCCCTTCTTCACCATGGCTAGTGGCATTTTCCCTGGGACACAAAGAGACCACAGCCCCCAACCTCCTGCCAGGGCACTTCCCAGTAGACCCCTCCAGTGTGCTCCAGTAAGCTCACAGTTCTGGCTTCCAGGGAAAGTCCAGGTTGCCTGTGGGAAGTTTTTCCAGAATAAATTAAAGGTATACACCTCGACTTGAAGGCAGTAACTGTGAGCAGAGCTCAGAACAGGGCAGACCAGCTTTCAGCGGCCTGGGTGGAGGAGTGAGGCCCACCAGTCAGACGCTGCCCAACAGGCAGCTGATGGGTCATGCCAGCCAGACTCCTTGGAAAGTCATTTTTTTCCAAATGCACCAAGTGACAAACAAGTCAGGGTGGGTGCTGCTGAATGACTACTGAGGGCGCAGCTGCTGAGGTCAGGGGGCTGTGAAGATAAAGGCTGCTTGGAGACCAGGCTCCTCTCCAAACGTAGAGAAGTTTGGGTTGTGCTACAGCTTCAGACATAAACACTGATCTCTTGACTCCTCTTCTCCAGGCAGAACTCAGCGCTGCACACAATCTTTAGGCTGTAAGTGGAGCCAGCTCTCCCTGTGTCTGCAGAATGATAAAACAGAGCTGGTCCTCCCCAGCACGGTGCCTCCCTCCACTTAGCTGCTCCCCCAGCCTAGGATCAGATGTGATGACATGTTTGAAGTTGTCTGAGATGCTGGACTGCTCGGGAGACCCAGTCTTACAAGATGTCTAATGGTACAATGACTGGGGTCATCATTTCCAGACTTTCTGGGTATGGACCATTTGGGTCTGGAAATGTCACATTGGCCCTCAGTGTTCCTCTGACTGACGTTCCTCTAGAAGGCAGGGCCTAGGAGGAAAAGTGGAACTGCACTGAACCTGAGACTAAAGTGGAGATGCCCCGGGTGACACTTCCCAGAGGCAGCTCTAAAGAGGAGAGCTGTATCCTCTGCTCTTCCGGGGGTGGTGGCACCCCAAACCTATCATTTCCCTTCCTGGGAAGCGGAGGTGGGAAGCCAGCATTACCTCCAGGGTGAAGCTTAATGCTGGTGCAGGCAGCATCACTCTGTGAGACTGATGGAGACTGGTGACTGATTCTTCCCTTGGTGGTCCTGAAGTTCTCAGTGCTGTCCCTGTCTTGTGAATATTTGCTGAACCGTTTGTCCTTCCCCTCATCCCTTGCTTCTATCTCTCTCTCCCAAAGAAAACCTCTCCATACTTTTCATTCTTTGAATTCTGACTTCAGGGAGACCACTGCTGAGACCCCAGGCCCGTGTGTCTCAGTGAATCCAGAGTGCTGTGACAGATGAGAGCCGACCGTGGCAGAAGAGCAGTAGAGACAGGAAGCGTGCCTGCATTTACAGTCATGCAGGATTTTGCTTCCTTCTTGGCCATTTATTAAGAAAAAGTTAGAAAAGATCAATACTACATCGTAATAGTAATTTAATGGTAATGAATGCAGCATGAGCCATTAGGAAATGTCCTCAGGCCAGGGATTATTAATGCGTATAAAGCTAGCTGTCCACCGGACCCTAGTTCCGGCTGTCCGCACACGCGAGCTTGCACTGTCACCACACAAACAGTTGTGCGGTTAGCACCCTGGGCTTGCCATCCTGCACTCACTCTGGGTGCCAGAGGAAGGTCTGACAATGCCCACGATATTCAGAATATTTTGATATGAGTTGGCATAGCAGTAATGTGACATCCTGGCTTACCTGAGTGACTTCCAGGTCCTTAACTGAAGTCCTCATTTCCCTAATGGTCCAGCACTAATGCCCTCAGAACATTAGTGTGGAGAGACCACCATATTTTATATGACCAGGGGAAGATAACAGAGGAATAAATGATAATTAAGGGGCATTTGCTGTCACCTTGCTCCACAGCAAGCTATAAAAGGGCACTCTATGGTCTGTGGAGCCTAGGAAATGCAGAATTAAATAACTGAGTGTTTGTTTATTCCTAGGACCTCCCTGAGCTTAGATGTGCTGATGTACACTGTGACTGTCCCAGGAAGGAAACAGAGAGGAAACACGCCACAGTTATTAGACCACTTGTGGACAGGGACCAGGTTCCAAGTCTATACTTTGGGAGATACTTCATGTCTGTCCTAACCAATATTCCCACTTTGAAATTAGCTATTGGCTTAAGGTCACCTGTAACTTGAGGCAGATTAAATGTCTGAAGAGATCCACATGTTTGGATATACTTCCAGGAGGTGTAGAACACGGTGAAATCTCAGTTGTGATGGTGCTGAGTGTACACATTATTATAAAGAAATGGCATGGTTTGAAATAAATATTTCCTTGTGGAAACATTACAAACATGTATCTGTGTAAAAAAATGAGTAAGAATGTTTGCTATACACACTTAAGGACCCAGTTCAAACTCACAGCACCAACACAGAAGCCTGGCATGACTGTGGGTACCTGGAACCCCAGTATTGTGGGAGCAGAGACAAGCAGATCCAGCAAGCCTTGCCAAACCAGAAACCTTCAGATTCAGGGAGAGACCCGGCCCCAAAGGAACACAGTGGATAAAGATAAAGCCGAACACCTTTCTTCCTGTGGTATCTGTATGTTCACATGGGTTCATGTACCTACACATGCATGTGCTGGACCCACACCCACACACTATATACAGACAAACATGCACACATGGAAAAAGAAAAATTAATGCAAATATATCCATAAATATATACTTCTATGTTTTTAATGTATCTGTTAAAATAAATTTTAAATAAATAACTTCAAAATTTGAGAAGTTAAAAAAAGACTTACATGGCATTTTTTGAAAAAAATATCTGGGATTGGAGAGATGACTCAGCAGTTAAAAGCACTGGTTGCTCTTTCCGAAGACGTTCAATTCCCAGTACCTATATGGCAGCTCACAACCATCTGTAACTCCAGTTTAAGGGGATCTGATACTCTTGAGTAACATATATGCAGGCAAAACACTGATGCACTTAAGATAAAAATAAGGAAATTAGACTGGAGGTGGTGGTGCGGGCCTTTAATCCCAGCACTTCGGAGGCAGAGGCAGGTGGATCTCTGTTAGTTTGAGGCCAGGCTCATCTACACAGCAAGTTTCAGGACAGCCAGAGCTACACAGAGAAACTCTGTCTCAAAAACAAACCAAGACTTTTTTTTTTTTAAGAAAGAAACATGACAAGATTTTGGTTAAGTATTCTGAGCCCTGTGGTACTTTACCTTGCTGCCTTCTCTTCTCTGTAAGTCTAAATAATTTTGAAAACCAGCAGGCTACCAGCTACGCGAAAGAACAGAACAGAGATGTTTTAAAGCCCCATCTTTAGTATCTGGCGGCTCCCTGGCAACTTACAAAACTTTTATTTGGGGGCAGGAGGCCTTGGGAACCACACCCAGGGCCTCCTAATGCTGGGCAACTTGTCTTCCACTGAGCTACAACCCAGTACAAGACTTGTCTTTATCTGACCCAAGGCTCACCAGACATTCCCTCAGGGTGTTTAGGATAAACAATCAGCTGCAGCAGCTGTCCAGACGTTGCAGAAGCCTGAGGCTGTGCTAACAGTGAAAGTTGACCGTAGACCGACACCAGTAGTGGTTAGAATCCACCGTAGGCGAGGAGATGCTGTAGAGAACCTGAAGCGCCCTGAAGGAAGGGCCTGTGCCGACCCAGAAGCAGCTTGCATCCTCACCTCCTGACCTGGAGCCTGTGCACAGGCAATAATGAAAAGACCAAGTCAGCAGCGGCACTGACTGTAAACTGAAGCCATGTCCAGGTGTGAGGTAAAGCCCTTGGCAAAGACTGGCATCCTAGCTTGCTTTCTGTTGCTTGTAGTGGCATTTCAGTTGTATTTTAATAAATAAAGACTGCCTGAAGGTCTGAGAGGAAAAAGTCCCACTGGTCAGCCTTACAGACCAGGTTATGGTAACACACACCATTAACCCCAGTAGCCACCCTCATTGCCATAGAGATCGGTTGGTGCATGCCTTTTATCCCAGTCCTAGAGAGGAATATAAAATGGGGAAAATAGCTCAGACACAATCTCATCCTGAGATTCCTGGAGGCAGGATTGCCATTTCAGACTGAGGTAGAGGTAAGAGCCAGTGTCTGACTGTTTTGCTTTTTGGATCTTTAGATTGAACCCCAATTTCTGACCCTGGGCTTTTATTAATCGTGTTTCATTTAATCGTGCTTCAGCTGCTGTGATAAACACCTTGACCAAAAGCAAACTGGGGAGGAAAGAGTTTATGGGAATATGTATCACATCAGAGTCCATCACTGTGAGGAGTCAAAGTAGTTACTCACGCAGGAGCAGAGGCAGAAACCACCGAGGAAAGCTGCTTACGAGTTTGTTCCCTGTGACTTGCTCAGCTTGAGGTCAGAGAAGAGAGCAACTCTGGGAAGATGACCTTTTGGGAACAACACGGGTGAGAGTGGAGTGAAGCAGGGGTGGGTGGGTTTGCTGGTTTGAGGCTTCTACACAAAGAGACTCCTGAAAGATAGATACCAGTGTCTAGGGCTCTATCCCCCTCTCGCTACGTAAATATCATCAGGGATCAGCTTGACTTCCTATAGATACCAGGATCACCTACCAGGGGTGCCACCACCCACAATGGGGTGGGTCTTCCTCTACCAATTAACAATCAAGAAAACAGGCATGACCACAGGCCACTCTGACAGAGTTCCCTCTTCCTGAGTGTAAAGTTGAATTAACCAATGCAACTGGGAATCTTATCTATTTTAGACATTTGAAATATCTCTGTTCAGGAGTTAATACGGAATGCATGGGAAGTCAGTGAGCTGGTTCAGCAGGTAAAGACACCTGTCATCAAGACTGACAGCCCGAGTTCAGTACCTAAGACCACCCAACGGAATGAGAGAGCTGGCTCCTGCAAGCTGACCTCTGACACCACACATACACGGCACACGTGGCTCCCCCACCCACATTTACACAAGATAAATATGTAAATTAATACAATTTTTAAATAAGTAATTAATCCAACAATAAAATGGGCAATTTGTCAGAATAGGCAAAATTTAAAAGAAACTTAGGAAAGCAGTGTAGACTGTAGATAGTGTAGACTGAGCAGACTCAGTGGTGTCAGGGAAATGCTGACTAATAAGAAATTTGGCATCTCTTCTTGTCTTGAAAATAAAACTCATTATCACATTTTGATAATTTGGAGAGAGGAATAGGGGGTGGAATAAACTTAACCACCAGACTATATCCAACATAGAATATGTTGTCATTTTGTTTATAAAAATGTTCAATGAGCAATTGCAAACACTTATAAAAGAGAAAATTCCAGCCCAAAACAGGATGGATAATGAGCTAGCTGCAAGTGGAGATTTTACACCTGGAGAAAACTCAGTGGGTAAGCTCAGAATCAGGGTGTGGGGGACGAAGGAAGGGTGTATAGACTTTAGGCTAGAACTACAGGCATTATCCTGTCCAAATACTCCAAAGAAGTCCATTGGAAGAAAGTCCCAAAGGCTGTCAGGACCTGTGTAGATATAGGAAAAGATCTGATATTTATACTACAAGTGCCTCAGAAAGATGAAGGTGTGGAGGTGACGTGGAGAAATCTCTACAAGAAAATGAATGCAACTTTCCAAAACGTGACAAAAGACGTAAGCTTACAGATCCAAGAGACCGAGGCAACTCCAAACAAGATAAGAAGCCCAAAGAAGTTCAAATTCATACACAGTGTAACCTGAAGACCTAGTAAGAGAAACAATATTTTGTGTAAATGGGAGAAACAATTAAAAGGAATTGTACCAGAGGCTGGAGAGATGGCTCAGTTGTTAAGAGCACTGGCTGCTCTTTCAGGGATCCAGGTTCAGTTTCCCACACCCACATGGGGGCTCCCAAACATCTCCAGCTTCAGTTCCAGGGGATGCAGAGACCTCTTTTGCACTCATGTAGCACACAAGTTATGCATATACATGCATACAAGCAAACACTCATACACATAAAATACATTTTTAAAAAATTTAATGAAACAAAATCAATTGTAGTACAGATACATGGCTAACAGAAATGGAGAAGGTTAATTCAGAAAGGGAAAGACAACTTGAGAATGGGAGTGAACTAGTGAAGTGGGAAGAACTATGATGGAAACTGTGGGGCTTCTGGTCTCCCGAGCCTCATTCGCATAGCATCTGCCCTCACTCTGGCTGGTACAGCCCAGGTTTTTCTGGCACATCTCTGTTTGTTGCATGAAGCACTGATGAGAATGGTCTCTGGTCCTTTTGTCAAGTGGCTCCTTTCATATGTTAATCTGATATCCTCACACCCCTGTTCTGCCACATGAAGATGCTGCTCACGTGAAGAAAATACAGAGCTCGTGGCCAGCAGACAACAGCTAAAGAAGATTCTCAACTAGGAAAAGGTAAAAGGAGGATTCTTGGCATATCTGGAAAGAACAGAGGGTGGAAGGCGGGGAAATGGCTATTTTTCTGGGTTTTCTAAATTGTACTTGTTTCAAGCAAAGATTATAATGTCTTTAATATTGTTCTAAGTATACACAGAGGAAATATTTAAAGCAATTTTATTATAAATAAGAAAGGGTGAGAAATGTAAAAGAAAAGGAGGTTGCTACACTGCACTCAAACTGGTGAAGTGATCATACTACAATAAATAATGCATGTATGTATAGCACAAAGAGGTATACTCATAATACTGGGAAAATCAAAACAAAATTCTAACGGAATTCAAGTATATAGTCAAACAGGGACAGGGGAGCAAAAGCAAAGGTCCAAACAAAAGGAGAGTCAACTCAATCCCACATATGCCAGCAATAGCATTACAGGTAAATGGCCTGTGTTCTACTGATAGGATATTTTCAGAACAACAAAATTAAAGAGGTGGAAGGCAGACACGCGTCTGCCCTGTGGTGGGGATGAAGAGGCAGGCCAAGAAGCACATCCTGCTCGCACTGATGGTTACACCTGTGCACATGTAACAGTCCAGCGCTGACACGCAACATGCCGAAGCCGAACTGCGGTGTCAGTACCGGACGGTTGCGGCTCAGTGGGCAGCGGGCTCCTGGGATCTCCAAATGCCGTCTTGCAACTTCATGTCAACCAATAGCCACTTCAAAATAAAAAGTTAAATTTTTAAAAAATAGAAAACAAAAAAAAAAATTTGTTTCTGCCTAGTTCCTAATGCATTAACATCTGATATCACAGGGGAGTTCTGTGATCCCAGCCCTTTTGAGGTTGAGATAAATAGGAGGGTTGAGAGCTTGTGGCCACCTTGGGCTACAAAGATCCCCTCAAAAGTAAAACCAAGGCATCTAGCAGGAACCAGCTGTGCCCTCTTCTTCCTCCCCTCCCCTCCCCACTCATTACAAATTCAACTTTTACGAAAGTGCCATCATTTTAAAATCTCTAACAGCTTCATTTCTCTAAGGAGACACAGATTATCGTTGACACCAACTGTTCCTTCTTCCTGCGGGTCAGTGGTGGCAAAGTAAGAGTTTGTGGAACCCGAATCCAGTTAAGTGATGAGGGAAGATGGGTGAGTCTTCTCCGCAGTCATGCAGGACAAGGCTGCTTTCTTTGGGGAAAGGTCTCTTCTGGACTTCAGCTGCACTGCTGGTTCTATGGTCATGATAAACTATTCTGACCAAAAGCTACTTGGGTGCAAGGTAGGGGTGGAACATGTCTTATACTTCTAGGTCATAATCCATTGTTGAGGGAAGCCAGGGTAGGACTCAAGCAAGAACCCTGAAATGCTGCTTACCGGCTCCTGCTTAGATAGTTTTTCTATACAGCCCAAGCTCGCCAGCCCAGGGAATGGAGCCACCCACAGTGGGGTGGAACCTCTTACATCAATAATCAAGACAATCCCCCACAGACATGCCCACAGGCCGATCTGATCTGGGAAATTCCCCAGTCAAGAGTTTCCTCTCAGATGACTTAGTCTGTACCAAGTTACAGGGAAAGCTACAGGGCACCTGAGTACCATCTGGCTTTCTTAGGTGTAGAGAGTTTTCTTCCAACAGCTGTCTTTAAGAAAGGTGACTCGGATCAGAGGAGTAAGGAAGACCACAAGACTGAGAGTCGGACAGGGAGCCCTGAGGGAAAGGCAGAGGACATGGAGTCCGGGTTAGGCTAGTGGTACCTCACAGACGGTCAAGGCACTGGAATGGTACATTCTGTGGGGTGTGGCAGCTAAAAGCAATTTTCTCTTCTGCTAAGAATGCCAGCCCTAACTCTTGCTTTTCAGCTTATGGATAAATTCTCCAACATGCCTGTGCCTCAGTTTCCCAAACTATTAATTGAGAACAGTAGTAACTCTTTGAGAGTTAGGGACATAGTTCAGAGATGGTCTGATTAGTTCATGTGGAAGGCCATAAATCAGATCCCAAGCACTGGAAACAACACACCACACACACACACACACACACTTCCTAGGGCACTCATAAGAATGCCTTGACACTATGTTAAGGTTTGTTATTTTATTACTACACCAAGACACAGTTAATGTCTTCCATGAGAGCAAAGAAAAGAGCAATGACCTGGGAAATGCCAGCTTGGGAGCAAGAGCGGTGAGGGCGGAGTGAAGTGAGAGTGGGTGGGTTCTGCTTCTGTGCGCAACCTCTACAACAGAGAAACACGAGAAAGTTCCAGCGGCGAGGGCACTACCTTTCCCCCCTCTCTCTTTACATATTAATATGCTCAGGGATCTAAAGAAAGATCCAGGCCACTTCAGCTTGCAGGTTCTAAGAGCAGACGCTCCTAGTTGGGGTGGTGGGCTCCTGTCTAGCTCTGTGCAGTGCTGGGTGACTCGGTTTCTGGTTACTGCCATTGAAACATTTGTGCCTGTGGCCCCTCTGCAGTAGACGCCTGTGGCTTGGGCATCCCACAAGCCAGCTCCCCTTCCATCTGGGGATTCACCCTCCTGGAAATCTCGGTCTCCTCATCCTGGTCAGTGAAAAGATGTCTGGGGGCATAAGCAAAGCTTCCCTCCTAAAGCAGAGATGCCGGAAAGAACTGGGCAGTGAGTACTGCGTCTGGTGAGGTTTCTGGAGTTGCTGGCAGGCCTGCTGTCACAGGAAAACAACTGAAAGGAATGTTTCAATAATTGCAATGAAGAGCAATGGAAGGAGTGAGGTGTTTGATCTTGTGACCTGTTGAATTGCTAACATTACTGTCACCAAACCTAGGAACTTCTTAGGAGGAATAATAAGTTCCATGTTATTTACTCAAACCTTTCCCTCAGTCAACACAGTGAGTGGATAAACTCTTCCACCTCTTTGGAAGAAAAATTTAAGAGGAATCATGGCAAAGCGGAAGTCCTTCTGATAGGCAGGAGTTAAGACCGAAGAAGCTCCGGCCAGTGCCAAGAAGAAATCTGGCTGCACCTATGCAGTGTGTTTTAAATGTACTAGAGATGGCATAGGCTAAAGTTGGACCAAGATGGCCAGACAGGCACATTAGAACCTTTCTGAGTAGAAAAGTTACCACTATGTACTACATATGAAAAAAATATCAAACACTAAGATAACAAGCCAAACAGTTATAGCTGAGAAACCAAGGTCTAAATTAAACTATTTTAAAATTCAGTTAATCCAATATAAAGGAGGATATAAGGAGGATAGGAAAAGGGAAACAAAACAAATAAGTCAGAAACCCAAAAGCAGAACGGTAGGTCCACACCTAACTACGTCCCAATCACATTACATGTGAGTAATCTAAAGGCCTCAGTTAAAACAGAATGAGATAATCAACCAGTTAAACACAGAGGTTGTTAGACTAGATCCAAAAGCAAGTTTCAACTATACACTGCCAGTAAGAAATGCTATTGAGGGCCTGGAGAGATGGTTCAATGGCTAAGAGCGCTGGCTGCTCTTCCAGAGGACCAGTGTTCCATTCCCAGCAACCACATGGTGGCTTACAATCGTCTGTAACTCCAGTTCTGAGAGACAGGGCACCCTCTTCTGACCTCTGTGGGTACCAGGCGTGAATGTGAAGCACAAACATATTTGCAGGCAAACAACTCAAACAAAAAACAAAACTAAAAAAATAAAAGAAATTTTTGAAGAAATTATATTTTAATAAAAGGATATACAAATCAAAATTAAAAGAAAAACAATATTTTTCTTAATAACTTAGAAAAAAGCTGGAGAAAATATACTAATATAAAACAAAGTAGATTACAGAGCAAGCAACTTTGTAATAAATTAAAATGTTAAACAACAATAATAAAGTGATCAACTAATCTAGAGAACACTCAATTCCTTGATGTGACCAAACACTGGAAACAATTCAAATACCCCTCAGCTAAAATGGGTACTTCAGCGGCAAGTTTGGGAGAAAGCATTCTTATTATTTATTTATGTCTAGAGACTCTGATTGGGAGTGATTGGTAAGGACAAAACACCAAAGGTTTTCTTCCCAGTCAGCTTAGCCTTGCTCCCCTTGGCGAGGGAAGGGCAGGAAAGGGGCTGCCTTTTACTATAGCTGTAACTGGTTTTCTCCTGGGGCACATGAAACCAATCCAACCATCTCACTAACACAGGAACTGCCCTTTTGAACAATGAGCCATGTTGGTTTGAAGAGCCTACATTTTGGTAAAACAGCCTCCCCGTTCTTATCAGACTGGTGCTCCTGTGTTCTTTCCTGCCCAGGTTGTATTTCAGAACTTCTTCAGGCTATACAACAGTGACTATCGTTCTGTCAACTTTGCTCTATTGCCCACGATTCTCCTCTGACCGTGATGAAGACTGGGAAGGAGGCAGTGGGATATGGGGAAGATGTGCCAAGAGATGTTGCCTGGAAGATGCCGAGAGGAATGTCACTCACCTGTAGGATGGTTAGTCCTGATTGTCAAGGTGATTGGATTTGGAAGAGATTGGTGAGTTATACCTCCGCGGTGGCTGAGAGATTTCCACAGAGGAGTAACTGAAAGGGAAAAGCCTCTGTCATGATGGACTGCGACAGCCCATGGGCGGAAATCTGACAAAGTAAAAGGGGCATATGCGCATGGGGGTGGGCGTCAAGAGGATCGGACCGACTTCGACCATGTTTCAACCACCACAAACTCTGCCATGCCTTTCTGGCCATTATGGACTAAAGTCATCTAGACCGTGAGACAAAGCAAAGTTTCCCTCTGATGAGTTATTCCTATGGGGTATTTTGTGTCATATACACAAAAATGACAAACACACCCTGCCAACAATATATCTTAAAGCTTGGCCTTAGTCCCAGTATGCCACTTACCAGCTGGGGAACTTTTGAGCTACACAGGACCTCAGTTTCTCCATCCGTAAAAATAGTTATAGTAATTTTGGCCTTGTAAAGAATTAGAGATTAATCTATGTAATGGATATTATCATTAGTAATAATATTTACTGATTATATGTGCCATATATTTTCATGCACATAACAAACCAGCCGAAAACATAAATACGAAGCCATACTTGTATTTTTCTAATTAGTTTTCCGTAGCAGAAAATTAATAAAGAGAATGAAATCAGCATTTTTCCTACAATGTGTCTGTCATAACTCAAGGCATCTAGACCAGTGTTTCAAGTACTCCTATTGCGAACCCTGTGCGCACAGGGCCAGGTGCAGAGGATAGTAGATAAATTCTCTGCGGCTCTGCCCCTGTACCCCTGCTGGAGAGGAGCCCGCTCTGGGCTTGCTCTTGTGTGATTATGTCTCCACCTTGACAAGGGGCTCTGGGTTTTCACCTAGCACCATCAGTGGGTCTTTTGCATGTGACACTAATTCCCCCTCTTCCTGTAAAGACAATCGTTTTCCCTAGCAACACTGTAGAAGGCACAATGCCGTGTGCCAGGACTCCCTGAAGCCCGAAGCAGGGCTGCACCATACATGTCACAGGACTCGCCCCACCATCTCAAAAGTGTTTTTAAGAAGCCAAAGGTCTTTCCCATGAATAATCTGTTGTGTGTTTGAGCCTCATTATAATTTTTCTCTACTGGTGTTTGGGGAAATGAAATGAGAGTTATTGGCCAGATGTGTAAGATTGTCTCCTGAGAAAATGGGGAAAATGGGGATAAAAGGGGCTGACCTAGCAGACAAGCGCTTTGCTTGTTCAGTTGGTCTAGGAACAAAACTGGAGTGCACGAAGACAGGCCAAAGCCAAGGCATGGTCATCCATGCCTGTAATTCTAGTACATGGTAGACTGAGCAAAAAGGATTCCACCCCAGCCTTGCCTACACAATGAGACCCTGACTCAAAATACTAACAAAAATTCCCTTAGCCAGAAGCAACTTCCATGCTCCTAAGGGAAGTCAGAGAGAGGGCCGGCTTCACTATCTTGGCCCAAGGAGGCTTTGTGTGCCCATCTTTAGCAGTTTCCTCTGCAGCCGTGTTGGAGAGCCAAGATCCTACCTAAGATACATTTATGTTAGGGGTCCAACTAGAGCATGCACGAAAACTCCCAGTGCCTATGGAAGGTGACAGCCAGGTCTCTGAAATACACAAGCACTTTCTATCAGAGAGGGCATCTTGTCCTGGAAGACTGCCGGGCAAGGCTCCTGAAAGAGGAGGAAGTGAGATTCTTCTAATGGAACTGAAGAGCAGCCTGCTGCGTTGGGGGACCATGGCTAGGACGAGGCATGAGTTTGGGGAGGAAGTGCAGCCATAGGACAACACACTGAACCAGTCTCCCTGGGACAGGAGTCTGCAAGGCTGTTCAGCCTGTGTAGGGCGTACTTCCCAGTGCTCAACTCTCAGAGCACGAGGCGTTCAAGGTGGGGATCTCGGTGATACAGGACAATTATGCACTATTCTCATTTTTGCTAAGGAATTGGGTTAGTTTGTTCAAGATTTGCGACCAAGTATCTCTAGAGCTCATTGATTCTGACACTGCTGCATGGGTCATACAAACTCACACATTTGAACTGCTTAAACAACAGCAACTCGCTTTTGTCCGTTTGCTTGGTTGGTTTGGTTTTTTGAAACAGGGTTTGGAACCCACTCTATAGACTACCCTGGCTACCAACTCAGAGATCCGCCTGCCTCTGCCTCCTGAGTGCTGACTAATTTTCTTAGTTCTAGTGGCCGAAAGTCGAAATCCAGATGTGAGCAGGTTAGGTGTTGAATGTCCCTGAAGAACTACTGTCAAAGGTGTGGTCCCCAGAACAGTGCAAGGAGAAGGGTCTAGAACTTTTAAAAGGCGAGATATAGTAAAAGGTCTTGGGTCTCTGGGGGTGAGGCCCTGAAGGGACTGTGGGACCGCAGCCTCTTTCTCTTTTACTTTCTGGTCGTGAGATAAGCAAGCTCCTCACATCCGGAGGCCCAAACCAGTGTTCCTGCTGTTCTTGGACTGGATCCACCAAACCAAGGGACACAAGAAAACTTTTCTATTTATATCTCCACTATCTAAGGTATTTTGTTATAGTAATGGAAAACTGACTAATACAGCCTCCTCTGAGGTCCTGGAGGTTAACATTTCACATGATTTTCAGGCAGAGTTAGAGGAGACACAATCCAGACCATAATAGGAACTTCCAGAATTTTTATGTGTTCATTAATGTCAAGGCGCAGAGACAGTAATCTCTGTATCAGCTAATCTTTACCCACACTTTATCAGGTAGTACTGTTAACATTTTTTGAGAAAGGGAAACTGAGTTATGCTGTGGCTAAGTGTGAACTCGGATCCCTGTTGCTTGGGCCTGCACTTTTACCCACACTAGTCTACATTTCCCCCCGTGTTTGCTACCCAGAAGCATGCAAACTATTAAAGAAAAATAAAGACAAAATCCCACCCATCTTGGCTTATTTTAAAACATGGATTTAGGGGCAGATGTGCACCCACTGGATGGCAGGGCAAGCCTGCAGCCTAAGTTTGATCACCAGGACCTACATGGTGGAAGAAGAGAATTGACTCCTGCAAGTTCCTCTGACCTCCCAACGCATACTCACAAATAAATACAAATGCAATTAAATTTAGATCCTGAGAGTTTTATAGAGCTGCTTTGCTCCCTTGTACTGGTTTGTCTTAGGCTCTGCTCTGCTGTGGTAGCTGAAATAGATCATCAAAGGTTTAAACTCTGCTTCCCCGAAGCAGGGAAGGGCATGAAACAACCGTAAGGACTGGACTGGATATAAAAAGCGCATTCCTTAAAGGTGCCCAACTGAAATGAAAGCAAATCCGTCATCACGATGTGCTAGTGGTAACCCTCCAACCAGTGGGACAGATCACCTGTATTCGTTGTCTACATTTTTCAAATGTTCTATAATGAGTTTGCGGACGCAATGACCTCTGAAAACCGCAATGAGAACAATAAATGTCACAAGAGAAAAATTGAAGCACGCCCACTCGGGCAGCTGCTCCAGCCCACTGCTTCCACAGATTCTGAAGGAAGGCTTCCTGCGTGTGCACCAGGAGGGAAAACAAAAGCAGACAGTCTGACGAAATCTATTGCAAACAACATCCTGACTGAGAAAAGCGACAAAAGGGGCACCTCCCTGAAAACAGCCCGACGTGGCCATTCAAATAGTAAAAATGACGCAGGGAGTTGGGAACAAAGTCCCAGATTCTGGTGCAGTTTCCTGAGCCAGGGAAAACAGCAAACCCCAAAGAGGAAGCCTGCACTGCCCAGCGTCCCCAGGGGACCCTTGACTGATCCCCATGCCAACACCCCTTAGAGTCCTGAGAGTTCATTCTCCCCCCTCCCCAGGTGCAGGGTCAGTCCCCGCCCAGGTGCCTAGTGGAACTTGGCTCTAATCAGCCCGACAGCCTAGCAGCCTGGGCGGCCATGCCAAGTTTTTCTTGCAGGGAGCAAGGTCGCACTTGGATGGGGACCCATTGCCGGCCTGGGTCATAGTTGGGCATGTGTCCCACCACTGGCCACCTGCTTCCTTCAGGCCTTCACAGCCGGGTGCCTGAGAGGTCTACACAATGGGCTGGACCCACGTCAGATTGTTAGGGAAAGAAAATTACTCTTTGTGGACCGAGAGATGGGGACAGGATGTCTATAGCTGTTTAAAGAAAAGCCAGGTCTGCAACCTAAGCCTTCTCAAGCACTTCCGAAATGTCGCGCAGCCTGCCCAGCTCTTTAAATATCCAAACCCAGAATAAATGTGCATGCAGTGCTCCCCCGCCACACACACACACACTCCATGCCTTTCACTGCCAGCAATGTGGGGCTCCAAGGCTGGCTGAGTCAGTCTCAAAATGAGGAGGCTGGAGAGGGCCTTGGAGATCAACAAGGCCAGGCAAAGAGCAGGTGACCAGCATTACAGAGGGCTCCCCCCAAGCAGCAGGCTGCAGCCTGGTAGCTCACTGCACACCAGTGCTCAGCCATCTTACCTCTCCCAGGTCTCCGGAACTACCATCAGTAGCCCCTGCCTGCACAGTTATTTCCTCAAGGGGCTATCCCACAGAGGAATGGATGGCTCTGAATTGTGGAAAGCACCTTAAGATCCTGCATCATTTATTTCTCTTAGGGAGTCTAGGATATCCATGGTTGGTTTCTGTTTTAGTTTTTAAGGGGTGGCGGGGGCGGGGACGTCATTAGTGGTACATGCCTGCAAACATATATGAGTCTGTCTATAAATAAAAAAAGGGAGAAAAATAATTTGTTATGTTGTTTAGAGAGAGAGTGTGTGTGTGTGTTCCACAGAGCAAATGTAGACATCGATGGCCAACTGCTGTGGAGCACTAGACTATTACACTAACTGTGCAAAGGTGTTTTACATTTGCTTATGTTGCATTTGTTTAATCATGAAAAGATGTGTTGTATTTGTTTCACCTTGCCTGCCTAAGGCACCTAATTGGGCTAATAAAAAGCTGAACAGCCAATAGCTGGGCAGGAGAGGGATAGGCAGGACTAGTCAGAGAGAATACGTAGGAGGAGAAATTTAGGCTTAAGAGAGAAGAAGAATGGAGAGAATGAGGGAGAAAGAAAGGGACGTGCCTGGGGCCAGAATCCAGGCAGCCAGCAGCTAAGCGGACACTGGAAGCAGGAAAAAAAAAGATATACAGAAGGGGAGATGTCCTAAGGTAAAACACAGATGAAGACACAGGTTAAATTATAAAAGATAGCAAGAAACAAGCTCAAGTTAAGGTCGAGCATTCATAACTGATGAGAATTCTCTGAGTCTCTGAGTCATTATTTGGGAGCTGTTTGGTGGCCCCAAAGAGAAAACCTGCTACAGACAGCTGTAGGACTTCTCTCCTCCCACCACGTAAGTCCCAGGGATTGACTGCAGACCATCAGGCCTGTAGTGGTGAGCACCTTTACCTGCTGAGTTAACTTGCTGGCCTCAACATCGTTTTTATCCTATGGTAACTGGCATCTTCTGCCAGCCTCAGGATGTGAAGCATACACCCTGAAGTGCCCTTACCCAAGTCTCCCTCCACCCACACCCACCTGTCCTAGGCAACAATTGCAGGGCCCTGAGCACAAACAGAGGTAATTAGTGAGAAGTGCAGCCAAGACCACCCAAGCCACCAATTCTTCCATCCGCTCTTCGGTAAAGTTACCTGAGCACGGCCTACTGTGTTTTTAAAT